CCCCCTCCCTGAGGTGCAGGGCAGCGGCACCTGTGCCCTCCGATGAGCCAATCAACCTCTTGCCCCAACGACAAGAGCATTCTCTTCCCCTCCCACCAGCGGCCAGTTCCAGGAGTGCTGCCTGCGGCCAGCCATCTCCTTCACGGCTGACCCTCCTGTGCCTGGCACGGACAGGTGCCCCGCAGATGTCAGCTAAATGAACGAAGGAGCACACGCAGGAAAATACAGGGCCACCCCAGCCTGGGCAGGCGGCGCTTAAGTGGAGAGCAGGGTGACAGAGCCACAGAAGACCCTAAAGGCAGACAGAAAAAGATGCCACTCCAGGGGGAGGTTGAACTTTCCTTCAGATGTCACCTCCTCCAGGAAGCCTTCCCCTCCTGCTGTAGCACCAGAGCTCTCTCCTTTCCTGCTGTGGGGAGTGAGAGTGAAGGGAGCAGAGGCGAGAGCAGGAATTGGGTATGAACAGAGGACGGCCCTAGTTCCTTCTGGTTCCAGACTCTCCATGGACAGCTTTGCAACTTGTCCCACGCACTGACAGACCCATTCCCTCTTCCTCACTTCCCTGGATGGACAGGACCACTCCCCTTCCAGCTTTGCCCCCCACCCCATCCCAGCATCCTCATGGGCCTGCCCAAGGGGCCTCGGCTCATCGTCAAGGTGGCGACAGCGTTGTGGGTTTCAGGGCTGCCGGACGGACCCCTGTCACTGTAAGAGGCTCAGCTCGGGCCTCTCGCTCAGCTGGGTGGGAGGGAGGCAGATGGGGCGGGAGAAGGCGGGCAAGCCTCGCTGAGCTTTGCGCTGCAACTGGGTGAAGGAGGAGGAGAGGTGTGGGAGAGGAGAGTGTCACTGGTTGGATCAGACACGCAGCCACGGCAATGGCTGTAAAGAGAGTGACGAAGGCCTCTGTTTTCCCTAGGGCTGAGAAAGCCCAGATCCAGGGAAGGGGGAGGCTGTCAGGCCCTTAGGGCATCACCCCCAATGCCAGGGAGCAGCCAACCTGACCCATGCGGGACTGGCACCCACACCCTCCTTTCTCAGGAACTTTGCAGGGACAGCGTCCGAGGGGCTGGGGTGGACGTGGGTGCTTCCGCTCTGGACACAGCATCTGCATACTGTCCATCTAGACTAGGGAGACTGGTTGCCCCCTTACTCCAGAGAGAGTGCCTTTGTCCTCTACCTCTCTGAGCCTCCTCTTGCCTCCCTGTAAAATGGGGATAAATACAGCCCCTTGAAAGGGTTGTTATGAGGATTTAAAATAGACAATCAGGGCTTGGCACGGAGCAGGGTCAACATGCCTCCCCCGCTGCAAAGCTCCAGGTTGCCAGTGATTGAACTCACAGTAAAAGGTGGTTGGCCTGGCCAAGCAGGGACTTATTTAATGATTAACCAACCCAAAGGGTAGTTTGCATTCAGCCTCTTCTCCAACCAGAACCACAGCGCGCCCCGGAGGTGTGCCGAGGGCAGGGCCTGAAAAGGGAGAAGAAGGAAAAGAGGAAGAACTTCTCCCCCCAGGAACTCCCCTAACCCCGCCTAATGCCACCTAACCCCACCTGTTCAAGCTTTTCTTTCCTCCTTACAAAACCCAGGGTAAGGCTAATGGGGCCCAGAGAAAAGGCTCACGTGGTATCAGCAATAAGACAGACCTGGGTCTTCTAAGCCCAGCGTGGCCACTGCCTAACCGTGTGAATTGGGGCAATGTCTTAACCTCTCTGTGCCTCAGTCTCTCCATCTGTAAAATGGAGCTGGCACCGGATGTGGCAGGATTGCAACTAGAAAGAGGATGAGTCACGCACACAGTGGGAGTTTAGCACAGGCCAATTTCCATGTGGAGCCCTGCCTGTTTTTTCACAGGGCGTCTGCCTGCGTTGTGGATACCGTCTGTGAGCGCTGCCCATGCGCATCCCACAATCGATTGTAAAGGACATTCCCTTTCTTTGGCTTCTCCTTATTATGCACAATAGCATGCCAGGTGGATTTTGGGGCACCCATAAATGTTATCTGAACCATGGCTCGGGAGGGCGCTGCATGGCCAAGGAAGCCTGCAGAACTCTGGAGCTAGAGAAACTTGGATCTCAGTCCCGGTTCTGTGAACTGGGGGAGCCATGTGAGCTGTGGCTTCCTTGCCTGTCAGAGGGAGATGATCATCCCTCCTGTGCACGGCTGTTGCAACAGTGAAAGGCGTTCATTTATTCAACAAATATTTACTGAGCACCTACTATGTCCCTGCCGCTGCACCAGCTGCTGACCATACAGCCGTGAAAAAAAAAAATAGACAAAATCCTCCCTCTTTAGACAATCAACAGCTAGCCACACACAGGGCGTGGCACATGGGGACCCAGGCTAAGGAGGAACAAGAAGCAGGGTGGAGGAGGAGGGGAGTGCTGGGGACAGGGACAATGGCAGGACCTGCCCGGGAGCAGAGACCTGAAGGAAGCAAGAGGGAAAGCCATGTGGGGGAAGAAGGTTCCAGACAGAGGGCGCAGCAAGTGCAGGAGCCTTAAGAAGAAGCGTGCTTGGCATGTAAAAGAAGCCACATATGCAGCAAGCCTGGCACAGAATCCAGGTGCTCAGCAAATGCCAGCTCTCTATTTCAAGTCCCGTAGAAGAAACCCCACGCATGTGTCCTTTCCCTGAGAATGAAATACAAGGATTTCTGCAGGGCAAGACGGAGCCGAGTGTTCTTTCAGCCTAAGACGCAGGCAACAGAGCTCCAGCGCCGGGTCTGGAGCCCCTGCCAGGCACCAGGCTCTGGGCTGGGCAACCAGCGACACAAGATGGTCCAGACATGGTCCCTGTCCTCACGCAGCCCCAAGACCAGTCATGGAGATGGGCCACCACAAGGGCGGTGGTCAGATGAACAAGCAGAGACCTAAGAAGGGATCGAGGTCGCAGAGCAAAAGATGGGATCAGGTGTGGGTTGTCAGGAAAGGCTTCCTGGAAGAGGTGACAATGAAGTTGGATTTTGAAGGTTGGATTGGACGAGGAAGGATATTCCAGGGGTGGGGAGCATCGCAGACTGAGCACAGAGGTGTAAGAAATGGCACAGGGCGTGTGAGCAACTAATCTCAGACAGGTCAGAAAACAGCAAGCGGCCCTTCCTATTCTCGGCAGCTGCTACCTAATGTGGCTCAGGAATCCAGTTCTGTTCCGTTCCTCAGACTCGATGCAAGCTTCAGCCCCAGCTGGGGGGTGGCATTGCCCATACGTAGCTGCTGCAGCAGGTAAGCAAGCTACCCCGAGGTCCCCTGAGCAGGGCGGTCCAGTCCAGAGCCAGGGCCCTGTTAGATGGAGACTACAGAAATTTCCTGCTACGTTTAGCACACCTGGCGGTGTCCGTGCCTTCACCCACATGGACCTGACCCACGGGTGACTGAATGGTTTTTGTACTAGAACAGTGTAAGCGTTTCTTTATTAAGAAATTTTAAAAAGGGGCCCATGCCTCCACATGGGGTCCTTTTAGCTGGGAGATGCTGCCATATTTGCCAACATCCCTGGACACCTCCTGACCGCATGGGTGGGTTCTCCTGCATGGGGTCATAGCCCTGTCAGAAGGAGGTGGATGCCGCCCTCCCTGGAAAGCGGACTTGGGTTCGAATCCCAACTGCCACTAACTGGCTGGCGACTTTACCTCTCTGAGAATTTGGAGGTTTGAGATGCAATGGCCCTAAAGCTGCCCAGAGGCTTATGAGGTAGGAGTTGGCTCCTCCTCTGGAAGTCGGCCTTCGGAATCCAGGACTCAGCGGGTCCACTTGAATCCCCTCCAGAGGAAGAAGCAGTTTTTGTTTGATAACACCTCGAAGGGAGGGCTCTGTCGGAGTGTTAGAGCAGAGACGGGGCTGTCTGTCCCTCTCTTCCTGAAACCTCACGCTAAATTTACCCACAGCTGACTTGCTTCCCCGCTGAGCTCTGCTTTTGTACTTTAAGCACACACATCTCTCACCTTCTGCAGAAAGGATGCTACAAATGCCCAGCCTTCAACCAACATAAAGCCTTATTCTAAAGCCCTGGAGATGGGAAGACGGCTCGCACGCAGACCGGGGTCCCCACCCAGACTCTTCCCTGCTAGTGATGTGACCTTGGGTGAGTCATTTTTCCTCCTCGAAGCCACAGTATCTTCATTTGTAAAATTGAAATGCACATCTTTCTCATGAAGCTTCTTTGCATATCCTCTTAGGGGATGCAAAGTCCGTCTGGGGTGTGGAAAGTGTCCCGGGTATGCAAAGTGCGGGGCACAGAGCACTCCCGCGCTGATCTGTTCCCATGATGATCAGGCCTTTGGTAGTACGGCCTCCACTGCCTCCCAGCCTCCCGCACCCCGCCCCCCCCCCCCCCCCGCCCTTTGAATCCCCTTACTCTGGCCCGGCAGTGCTGCGGTGGTTTTAACTAGGGGGCGATGCGCTCTGCAGCGGTGGCTCCGAGGGGCTAGAGTCCCTAGTTGAGCGGACACCAGAGGGGGGCGCAGCCGGCGTGCGCGTGGGAACGTGGCCAAACCGAGGCAGCTTGTGCCGCGGGGGCGCAGGGCGGCTGTAAACTGGGGTACCCCTGAGAGCACAACCCCCACCCCCCATTCAGCAGCTGCGGTGTCCACAAAAAGGCGTCTCTGGCCGTCGGAAGCCCTGGAGAGCCCGCTCCAGTAACCGTCCCCCCGCCCTCCGGGGGCGCCCCGAGCTTCCTCATCAGCGCCCTCAGACTGGAACAAAGACAAGGGGGCGCACGGCATCGCCCCAGAAGCCCCTTCGCTCATCTGGTCAAAGCCGGGAGAACAAGGACGGGGGTCCCCAAGGTAACCAGGACGCGGTACCCGCCCTCCCGGAGCGCAAAGCCTAGCCGCCGGGTGCACGCGGATCCGGGGTCCCAGGGTCCCAGAGGCACTGGAGACTCCAGCCCGCTGGACGCCAAGGGCTCCAAAGCGGGGGTGGCTCTCCGTAAGTCACCCAGCTGGTCCCCCAGGGGGAGGAGAACCCCAGCGCCCTCCTCCCGGGCAGGGCTCCACGGCGTACCTGGCAGGGTCCTGTGCACGGTGTTGCCCATCGCTGCTTCGGGGCGCGGCGTTGGCGTCAGCGCGCTTAAGGCTCACGAATGCTAATTACGCGGTGGGCCGGCGACCCGGGCCGGGGTCGGGCTGCGGGGCATCGCGGCTGTACGGGCGAGCCTGCAGGCGGCAGCTGGGGCGGGAGCCGGGAGGGAGGTGGCGGCGGCCAGAGAAGGCGGAGCCACCGGGCCGGGCCCGCCGGCTCCGCCCCCGCCTCTCGCTGCGGCCAACCACGCAGGGAGGGGCGGGGCCGCGGACGCCGCATCTTTTGAAAGTTTGCACCAGGTGGCGGGAGCAGAACCGCTGAGACTCCCGCCCTCGCTGTTCCCGCGCCCGGGACACTGTGCCCTCTGGATGCCAGGCTTGTCAGCCTGTTGGCCTTTCCCTCTAATCCAACATTTGGAGAAACCTCTTCCAGGCGCTGGGCCACAGGTCTTTGGACACACACACAGGCAGAAGGTCACTGTGGACAATATACTAACGGGCTTGAGGAAGACAGTCCAGCCAGGTGACTGGGGAGTGGGACCACGCACCTACAATTAGGATAAACTTAGGCAGCGTCCAGCGGTTGGGAGGGGGGACCCCATATTCAAGACACATCTCATGTGCCAGGCGCTGGGCTGGGCACTATACAGACAAAGCATGCTGGTGGTGAAGACAAAAATAACAAGCAATTAACATCAGGTAATGTAATGATCAAAGCCAGAAAGAAAATAAAACAGGATAAGAGTGGTGGGGTGGCTTCGAGGGACTCTGGGAGAACCTGGGGGCCGTCAGCTCCATCCGATGGACAATAAGAAGTCGGTTACGGGAAGAGCTAGGGAGAGTCTGGGATGGAGGGAGCAGCAGGCTTTCCTCATGCATTCACCCACCCCACGGGTGTTTTTCTGAGCACCTCTGCTGCCTGCGAAGGAACCCACACCACACTCGGTGGGCAGTGAAGCCTGCTAGTCCTCATGCTCACAGGGCTCCATTTTGCAGATCAGAACACAGGCGACCGACCCAAGGCCAAACCAGTTTTTGTCTGGCTCTGCTTCCCATGCGCTTGTGTCTGTTAGGACCTTATGAAATATGTCACTACCCCCACTTCCCAGACAATAAGGCTTAGAGACTGGAAGAGAGGTGCCCAAGATTCCCCAGCTGGTAAGGGGCAAGGCTGGCCGGGGGCTGTGTGAATGAAACGGGGGTATCTGGGAGAGACACCCCTCCCCCCACCCACTCAGTTCCTCCCGTCTTCTGCCTGGAGCACCTGGCCCAGCGCAGAAGGTTTTGCTTCTTCAGGATCAGCTCAAAGCCTCCACCTACAGGAAGGCTTCTGTATTCCCCACCGTGCCCTGACTCATCAGATGCGTCTGAGCATGAGGTTGCGTTTGTGTTACTTCCTTAAATTGAGGGTGTTCTCTCACTTTTTAAACACTGAGTCCTGTTGGGGAAAGGCACAGCAGTTTGAGCTGCCCTCGGCCTGTGTGAGTTCGGGGTGCACACAGAGGTCAGTTTCCTTGTAAAAGGAGCTGGGCAACGTTCACTCACGGAAAGCAGTGGGGCTTTGTGACTGCAAGGGATGAGGGTTGTCACAAACGGGCCTTTTCAAGGTCACTTTCAGGGCACCGCAACAAACGCTGGTGTTGTGCCAATCACAAGCGTGCACCTGCAGCACATGAAGCCCCGGCTGTCCTACTGTTACACGGTGGCACCTGCCGAGCGGTCACCTGAGACCCGGATCCAAAAGGGCTGTGTTTTCACCCTGGCAGGTGTGGCTCAGTGGACTGGGCACTGGCCTGCGAAGCAAAAGTCCGCTGGTTTGATTCCCGATCAGGGCTCCTGTCCGGGTTGCAGGCCAGGTCCCCACTTGGAGATGTGAGAGAGGCAACCGGTCTATGTTTCTCTCCCTCTCTCCCTCATTTCCCTCCTCTCTAGGATAAGTACATAAATAACTCAATGGCTGTGTTTTAGCATCTTGGTCCCTGTGACCTGCTCTGGAAAATTACCAAAGCCCCCCCGCCCCCACACAACCCCAGGTGACGGTGAGTCTGGTGTCAAAGCCACTTGGAAAGAACTTGAACCAAACCCTTTCTTGAAATTTGAGACCAGACAAAAGTAGTCTTTCCAAATTAATAATGTTCTATCAAAAAGGGTTTAAAATATGGATGTCCCAGTAAAGACATAACTTAGGCATTGCACACCGATGAATGAGTCATTTCCACCCCTTAAAGTTTATATCATTCAACTTTATTGTGCATCTTCTCACTGGGAAAATAGGGGTTGCCCTTAGCCTTTATTGGGGTCGCCCAATATCGAGCATATACAGTAGTTCCCTGCCCCCAGCCGCCCACCGCACTGAGGCTTTTTCCTCCGTTGCACCCTGGGGGCAGGCGAGGTGGCCCTTACCCGCCCCCCCCCTCCCCACTGGAAGCCGCCTGAGGCAGGGCCCAGGCCGCATTCACTTATGAATCCCCAGTGCCCAGAACAGAGCTGTATACACAGGCACTCAATACCCATTTGAATAGAGTGGCCACAGAGATGAATCGCTCTGAACTGGGAGAAGAAAGGAAAGAAGGAGGGAGGCAAGGAGAGAGGGAAGAAGAAAGGGGCAGTGAAGAGTTGAAAAGGAATGTTTTAGTTGACAGTAGCCCTGGACTCTGGTATGATCAATGGGGACATGCGCTGGCAGAAAGAAACAAACAAAGCAACAAAACAGGGATGCATTAACAGAAGTAGAGTCTCTAGAACAAAGTTCGGACCAGATGGCTTTGGGAGAGGGGGAGATCCTTGTCTCGGGAGGCATGCAAAGAGAAGCAGGGGATGGGGACACATTGTGCCTGGGCAGCAGCCTCCAGCCATAACCACTCCTGGCTTTGACTCCCCCCGCCGCCCCCCGCTTCCTCTAGCCACGTCCAGAATCACAGAGCCTATGCCACCCTTTCTCGGAACAAGGGCTCTTGCTTGGATAGCAGGGGCCCCTGGGTGGGGCTGGCTCTTGATCCAGCAAAACTGGCGCAGCCTCCAGGGCAGTGGGGAGAGGGAGGGCCCTGGCGGGGCTCGCTGGCCTGGCTCCCTCGGGACGTGCCCTGGCAGGCCCTGCCCTGTGCAACACCTGGCAGGCAGGTGCACCTCGGGGAACGGGCGCGCACTGGCTTCGGGGCAGCCCCCGCTGACACCTGGGAGAAAAGACCCCTTCCTGCAGGCGCCCAGGGCATGTGCTCAGACTCCCCCCTGAAACTGGAGAACTGAGGGTCCAGACGGCAGTCAAACCTCAAAGCTCAGCCTCACAGGAAAGCTCCTCTTTTCAGCAAGCCCGGCCTAAAAAGCCTTCGATGTCCAAACCCGTCCCCACGTCCTAGCAGCCTGGTTATTAACACAATTCCCATTCTGCAGGGAACCGAAGCGCAGAGAGAGGGAGGAGCGGCCAAGTTCACAGCTGAGGAGGGGGCAGAGCTCAGAAGGTTCTCGAGTCTCCGTAAGTAAGGACCGTTAACACTATCCCAGGTGGAGAAAGATGAGTGTCCCCTTCTTTCTCCTATCTCCCCCCAACAATTTCTGGCGCCCACCTGCTGCGCTGTCAGCAGACCATTAACTGGGTGACATCTGAGCAGGGCTCTTTAAGCCCCATTTCACGACCACGGCTGAAGCGTTCGTGCCGGGCCAGGCCCAGGGGACAGCGGGGAGAATCAGTCAGTCAAGGGGAGGTAGGAAGAGCTGGGGCAGGTGCCTGGTGGGGAGCCCCCGTCCCCACCCCCCGCTCCCCCACCCGGCTTGAGAGCTTACGCAGATGGACCTTCAGTGGAAACCCCACCCCTGGGAGGGCTTTGCAGGTCAGAGACACCTCCTTTCCGTGACTTTTTTCCATCTTCATGGGACCCTCTTTGCTCAGTTCATTGGTCGAGAAACTGAACCTCAGAGAGGTGAAGGATTTGCTCATGGTCCACAGTGGAATACGGTGGACTCAGGTCTGTCCCGGAGACCCCATGGCTGGGTCCTCCACCTCCCTAACCCCTCACCTGCACATGGATGAGGCCCCTTAGGCCCAGAGGAAGGAGCCCATGAGAGGAGGTGCAGATGTCTCTAAGAGCCATCAGCGTCCACAGTCCAGGCCAGGACCTGGAGGCCCGAAGGCGGAGCGCCTGGGCTCACATCCCAGCGTGGGTGCTCACCGCCTGTGACCTTGGCCTAGTTCTGTGACCTCTCTGGGCCTCAGGTTCTGTATCTGCAAAATGAGGCAAAGAATGGAAACTTGGGGAGGGTGGTGAGGACCTAATGAGCTGATGCGCCTGAGGTATTTAGATGAGTGTCTGGTGATCGCTCTCAAGAAACACAGGCCCCAGGAGTAGCCAGGGGTGTGGGTCTCACCCCTGCTTTTAAATGGCTTATAAGCTCCTGTTCATACTCTTTGAGCCCGGAATCCACTTCTGAGGACCTGTCCTGAAGGTGTAATCCCAGCTAGGTGCAGACGAAGCTAATAAATGCCCGGAGATGTTTGTTACATACCAGCACAGCAGCACCCAGTCACCTCCCGGGCCCCTCCCCCTGCCCTCCGCCTGCCACCTACACAGGGAAATGTTTAGTAAACAGGTGGCACTCAACAGAACCTCACAGAGCTCTGGGGCTGCTGTTTCCAAAGACTTCAGAGCAACAAGAGAGAAGGCTTCTGTTTTAAGGTGACGTAAGAGAGGCCGAACGCAGGACTGTAAACTCAGGACGATGTCAGGCTTATCAAAACAAAGTCGGCAAATACAGAATGTGCGCAGGAGCGAGATGAAAGAAAACTCATCAAAATACGACCAATGATTATCTCGGAATAAGAGGAATAGGAGTAGGGTTTTTTTTTCCCTTTTTCTATCTGTTGGCAGTTTATAAATGTTCCCTAATGAGCAGGTATGAAACTTTTCTAATGGGAAAGAACTCGATAAACTACTTTTCAGACAAAGAGTTTTATTTGGGAGCTGAGGTGCGGCCTGATCTGTCCTGGGCCCCTTGGCATGGATGGGGTCGCCGATTTTCT